GTGGCATGGTCATGGCTCACCACAGCCTCAACCTCCTTGGCTCAGGCTATCATTCTGCCTCAGCCTCCCCAGTAGCTGGGACTACAGTTGCGCATCCCCATGCCTGGCTAATTTTCTTTTTATTTAGAGACAAGGTCTCACTATGTTGCCTAGGCTAGTCATTTTTAAAAAACTGACTTTGTGAATTTAAACTTAGCTTCAGACCATTTGCCAGACAAAGTTTTCCCAGATAGGGTGAGCTACAGCAGAAAAATCTAAAAATGGAAGAAATGGGGGGAAAATCTATCAATTCAAAATGAGAATGGTGAGTCATGCATAAGCATGGACAGAAGATGGTGAGATCCATCTTTAACTGTATTTTCAGAGCATGTCATGAATTACTTAACCTTAATTAAATCTCAAATCCCATTCATCCATTGGAAACACAGACTGACCTTCAAACATGTAGGGCTCTTATCAAAATTCTTTTTCTTAATATAGTTCAATCGTTGTGAGCAATTGGGCCAACCTTTGCAGAGTTCTCTATCAAGGAGTGTAGTAAAATATATTCCCATCCTGGACAGCACTAATAGTCACAAAAGCAAATTAAACAGAAATTCTCCTTTATATTATTGAAAACAGCTATTTGCACCATCAAATCAAATATTATAACAATAACATCTAAGTCAAATACTGTGTAATATTTGTAAAATATAAAAAATCACATGAGTTCATTGTTCTTTCAGTTTCTAAACATGCTAAATATTTTCTCTGGAACCCAGATATAATCCTAACACATCTTTATCAGGCATTGGAGATTGCAAATGGTGATGATGTGAATAAGTCAAAGTAATTTTCATTTGACTCAAACAGGGCAAGTTTACACTCGTTTTAAATTAGCTTATGGGGGGGGAAGTTTTAAAATTTGGCAAATAAATTAGAACTTAATCTGAAGGCGAGTTTAAAAAATACAAGAACTCGTCATACTACTAAGATGTGCAGATTTATCTTGCCACTGATGGTTGTAGCCTCTGCAGTCCCATGGATGGCCAAGATGCCTTTCAGAAACAACCTGTTAGAGTATACGAGTACCCAGGGGTGCACGTACCCAAAGAAGGGAGAAATGGTTTACATCCCTTCTACAGAGACAGGGTTTGTTTTTTAATTTTCTATTAATATTTTTTTAGAAAATCACTTTAGAAATTACTTTTGAACATGTTTTGCTGGAAAGTTTGCTAAAAATGATTACATACCTTCATACTTTCCTAAACATCAGGAACTGAACATAATTCAGTGCGTCCTTGGCAACTCAGAGCCACCACATAAAGATCAATTATCACCTCAGGCTGTACATGATTCTGGATATTTTCTGTTTCCTTTCTTATTCACAGGTGGTCACTGAATTCTAGCTCTGGACATTTGCTATCTTTTCTCTAAGTTGATGTGACAATACTGATTTATAAGACTACTAGATTTGTACAATATTTAAGATTCAATAACCTCTACATGAAAAAACATACCAAAGCACAGGCATGGCTTTTTTCATAAAGTAAGATAATTGTGTTGACTGATTTTGTGACTGTTATTTCAGAAGTGTCCAAGAACCTTTTTGCATGCATCCTGAGTGGCCTAGAGTGTGTGTTCAGGATGTCTAAGGGATATAAATTGTTGAGAATGATACACAAATGGGGTTATAAAGCTTCACCTCACTACCCAATAAGAAAAACTCAGAGCATGGTATTAGTAAGACTAATGGTATGCTTGGTAGAAATTTATCCTCTTTCTACATGTTATCTTTCTGTGTGACAATATTAACATTTAAACTAAATTTGAATTAATAAAAAGAGAAATAACATCCTTAATACTAATTGAGACGGGTAACTTTTCTAGTGCTTATAGGCTTGAAAGTTCAACAAACTCAAAGTTTTAATTCTACATAGCTTTTCATCTGAACCATCTCTTCAAGTGTGCCATATTATTTTAGAAATATGTGTGAGTATGGTAAGAAGTGTGGGCATTCAACAACCCAAGCCCTTAATTTTTGTTAAGCTTATTCTATCCAGTCGTGATATTTGTGATTCATGAGCAACAAAGTTATTACATTGGGTAGGTTTGGTTTCCAATGTTAATCTCAAAAAAAATGGGTGACAAAGAAAATGTAGCATGTTGAGAAGAAATATTACTCATCTTAACCTGATTTTGGTTCCATGAGCCAGAATGAATATCCTGGTAAAGAGAAAGGTGGTTATATCTCACCTCCTGCTGCAGACATAGTACACTGCAGCTGAGGTCAGATGAACCTGGATTAGATTTCTCAGTATCACCACTGATTAGTGGAAACATTCCAATAACATTACTTAGCCTCTCTGAACTATTAATTTTCCAAAAGTACAAAAGTACTTACCTCACAGAACTGTTGACATTGCTGCGAACATTTACACACTTACAACGCCTGACACCTTCCTTTCCTTTTCCCTCCTAGTCACAGCCATTCAGCTGCTTCTCTTGCCTTGATGGCTCCATAGATTGTACAGATCCTTACTTTAGACTTCTGTGTCCTCAGGAGCTGGGCACATGAAGGTACTTACCAAGCATTTGCTTTTGCTCCAGTACTGGCAAGTCAGTGAGAATGCTTTTTGGGTCTTTAATTATTCTTAACAAACTGAGCAGAAGAAGCGTCTGATACGTTTTCTATATGATGTTGTCAATAGTCTTTCCTGGCTGGGTAAATAGCTGAGCCCAGAACTGGGCTCTGGAGAGTTATAAAAGAGAGGAAAACACCAAACACTATCCTACCATCAAGGACTTTATAAACTAATGAAAGAAAGAAGTTGTATGAAAGAAATCTATGACTCTACATACATCAGAAGGCAAGAGAACCTAGAAAGAAAACTAAGTCCATGTTAAGAATTGATGAGATGGGCAGTATGCAAAGGTGGGCAGGGGGCTGATGGTTTCTGGACTCTGATGAGTCAGTCATTGGTTGAATTCTGAATTAGATTTCTTAGATTTCTTTAATGGTTTCAGGCTTGATGTTGACACCATGTTTTTCAGAACTTTTGTTTTTCAAATACAACTATATATACATATATATGCAATCTCCATATATAAAGAAATATGTTACATGTACATATATATACATATATGTGTGTATGTGTGTATATATATGTATATATATATACACACATACACACATATATGTATATATGCAATCTCCATATATAAAGAAATATGTTACATGAAAGTAATTGTAATAAAGCTAATGTGTCTGGAGTTACTTGTTAGCTACCCAAGAAGTATGCTTGAGCCCCTTTGATTTCTATTCTCATAGAAGTATATAAACCACTCATGGAGTTTGGTTTTATCATCTGAGAGTCATCTTGGAAGGAATATTCATAGGAGATAATTCTACCCTTCCCCCCACTATATTGTCTACTGTGCTGCCATGTTAATTGTTGCAAAATTCGCTCCTCTTTATTAGTCAAGGCTCTTCATGGGTAAAAGTCAAACATCCTAGTATAGAATTTAGCATCATTTATAAAATCTCTGAGGTTGTGTTTCTATCTTTTCCTACAAGTCTTCACTCCCCTCCCAACATTCCACTGTATTGGGTTATTTGTGGAGTTCCAAATATGCTATACCTCAGAGATTCTAGGCTATAGTGATGCCTTATATCTTTATTTTTAAATTTCATCTATGTTTCAATACTGACATAGGTTTGAGAATCTTTGCAGTTCTTGGAGTATATTTCCTTCCTTATTTCCATCTTAATTCATAGTGCTATCTCTTTAACATTTTCCTCAAACTCTGCCCTATTCAAAGTTCCATCCTCAAGTTACTCACTGTTTTAATTATACCATCAACTCAGAACATATCACATTATATTACAGCTATGTAACTACCTTGCCCTTAGAAGCAAGGGTCATAGTCCTGATTTCCAAGTTCCAGCACAAATGACAGTGCCCGATCCACCAGTAGAAACAGAATTCATGAGACAGTTGTATCAGTTAGCTGCAGCTTTCTGTAGAGAACACCTAAATAAATCTCTTTTAAGATAAAGTATTACCAGTAATCCTTGATTGTTAGGTTTCTTCAAAAGGGCTAACTACAACTAGCCTTTCAATGTAGATACTTGGGGAATCATCATATTATCCAAATTACTCTTATAAAACCCTCAAATGGCTATAATCTCATTTCATTTCATTGAATGAATATATGAGATAGATATATTGAAAAAAATTAAAGAGTAATCTAACAATGATAGTAAAGTAGACACGTGCCCTACAGCTAAAGTTAAAAACAGAGGCAAGTCAGTGCAGATAGGAAACACTCAAAATAAGTAACAATAAAAATCCTAAAAGATCTAGGAATTGTGTTGAAATACAAGTTACTTATAAATAATTAGTGGAGAGTTTCTATCAGACTAAGGGTTTAAACTACATCAATGAGACATTCAGATTATATCTGGGGGTGAGGGGGACAAACAAAAAACAAAAAACTTCCCATTATTGTAGGTTGTTAAGTAGTAGCAATTACAAACTACACTCACTAGTCAAGAGAAAAATACCAACCAGTAGGTTAGAAAGTTCTGAATGCAATTATCTCCACAACACACTGCCAGATGGCTACAAAAGAATAATGGTCCCATCTGACTTTTGTAACAGAGAGAAGACAAATTTTAGGAAATTTTTTGCCCATGAAAGTGAAAAACAAGTCTAAAGAGTTCTAATATTGGGAAATCCTACTAATGACCTTGGAGATTTTTGCTAGTAATGGGAGCAATGCTGATTGCAACCATTTCTGGGAAAACAAGGAAATACTTTTTACATAGTTCTCACAATTTCTTGTTCATAAAGTTCAAATTGTATACTCTTGAAACCTACTCTTAAAATATTTACATCAATACATTTTCTTAATTTGGGGGGTATCTAAACTTAAATATTATGTTCAAGCAATCAAAATGTTCTACACTGATTCACTAATAATATAAAGAAAAAAAGACAAGACACTTTATACCACAATTTAAAATGTGCAAGGAAATTAGTTAGGATAAATATTTATTTCCACGTAACATTTTTCATTTGTGAAAAACACAATATCCTAGTCACATTTACACATTACTTAAACTTTGCACTAAATTACATTCGAGATATTCAGTAATTTTGACCAGGAATCTGAAATTAGGAGTGAATATATAATACTACATTTTTCTTATATTTTATATGATTTCAAAATATTAGGATTAACACAGGGATAGCATTAAAATTCACACAAGAACAAAATAACTATAAAAATACTCCAAAATACAGAATTTCATTGGATATGATTGCTTATTCAAATAGGTGATCATGTGAAGGTTTTAATTCACTATGATCATTTTTTAACAGAATGGTTGTTAATATATTAAAATACTAAGAGGCTGCTTTGGGAACTGACTGGCTAAATCATAAAACAATGGAAATGTTTACAATGCGGCATTTGTAATATAAAATACACAAAGGCAACACATGTGGAACAGAAAAGTTTCTGTATTTTTTTTCAGCATTTAAAAATACAAACTTTATTAACTGTAAATTATTTTTCCCATAATTTTTAGGCTAATGTTCCATTTTTTAAAAAGACTCCTTAAAGAATTGTTAGGGGAATTTTTAAAAGGTATCAAAATATTGAACCTAATGGAGACTTTGTTGATGTTTTCTCTCATTAGCTTAGTCACAAGAGGACTTTTTTCACTTTTCATGTGCATTTATACACAGAGTACATAATTAATAGTCAGTAAAAGCCACAGGGCACTGAATTATTGTAAAATTGAATACTGAAGTATTATAAAGTTGATGATCATAATCATTCTTAGAAACCAGGAGCACAATTATATTTAGTCTTTGAACTTCAAGTTCATCTAAAATGAAATGACATAATTGTATCTTTAGGAATGCTCAAAACTTCTTAGCATTCCTTCCTCTTGTATAAGCTTGGTAAAGGTGGATTATTTCATATGGACTGCCATAGCTACAGAATCTTCTCGAACAGAATCTGAAATTTTCATTTCAAAGATTGTTTTTCCACAACATGCATTTAATTAAAAAGTGAAAAAAACTTTGCAGAAAATAATAACAATTGGAGACTTGTTGGTCAAACATTAGCACATGATTCAGGACCAACATTAAGCAGTGCATGACCATTAGCAGTAGGATAACTGTACAGAAGTGGAGTTTCAGGTACAATGATTCACCACGTGGTATTCCACCAGTGTGTATATCATAGGTTTATTTGGAAAACATTGTTGTCATTGGGTGAGAAACTTATCACATTTATGACAAAGGTTTATATTGAAAATCCCACAAAACTGTTACAAAGTTTTTCTAAAGCATTTCATACAAGCCTAGTATTTGATCATGTAGTTACAACTTTAATTTTAAGCAAATACTACTTGACCTTATGTCTGATTCTTTGTGAACAAGTTTCTACATATTTTTTTCAAATGACTTTGCTTCAGTTACATATAAATTGTTAAGTATTAAATATATCATATTAAATCAAGGAAATGCATAAATACAATTATTTAAAAATGCTTTCAAACTAACCTTTTTGATTTGGGTCTTTTGATTTGGGTCTTTTGAAATAAGTCACTAATTCTAAGCTATCAAAAATAAAAAGAAGTAAGACTACCTTTCAAAATTCTTCTGAATGAAATTATCAGGCATCTTCAGGTCACTGAAGTAGGAAAATACAAACTAGATAAATATGACTTATTTCTTTAAGGAAGCTATTGCTCTCATAAAACTGACAATGAGAATCCAGTGTTTACAAATGTCTGACATACGGCAAGGAACACACAGATTCTTGCATTAGCTAGTGTATCTGCTCACAAGGGTGTTTCACTGCTCAGAAGTTTAAACATAGAAACAAAACAAGTATTTTACTACTTACAGTATGAAGGTGGATTTGGGATGAGAGACAGAATTTACAATACATGATCAAAGCAGTTTTATTAATAATTGTGACACTCTTCTCATATATATGTAAAAAATAAATTGAAGACCAAGTCATAGACAAGTCTCCCTGTCAACACCTTTCCCTGAGTCAGCTTTCTTCTCTTTTCGGCTTTCAGTGCTACAGAGGAAAAAGGAGAAATGTATTACTGCAATCCAGCATGGCTACTGTGAGATCTACTCGCTCAGACACAAAACCCATCAACCCCAAAGCACCACAAGAGCTCTTAGGCATTGCTTTCTCATGCTGCGAAGCACAGATAGACAGCAACAATTAACATTCTCTGCACTCAGTGGGATAGAAAAACCAAGAACTGCAGAGGGGGAAATTCAAAAACAGACACTAAAAAACAAAAGTCAGACATTTTTAAAAACAGTCCCAAAGGCATGCAAGATTAATACCATGGTCCTCATTTGGGCAAATGTCTCACTGATGATTGCTGAAAATGTCAGCCATGCCCCCATCTTAAGGCAGCGCCAACTCTAGTAAATGACACAAACAAGATGTTGCAGTAGGCACTTCTGAGCTCTGCTGCAAGTAGCTCATGTTTTGTGCATGAACTGGGTCTTGGCCTTTGGTGAGGATTATACCTTGCTCAGGTAAGATAGACATAGCCCCTCTGGTCTAGAGGAGAGGTCGCTGTGCATACCGTTTTCCAGACACCTGTACAGTCTCTTTACAGACAAGCCCTTACCATAGACATTAAAAAATGATGTTTCACATCACTCCTTCTCAGATAAACTTCTTCTCGAGTGGCTTCTCTTTAATCTCATCCTCTAATTAACTTTACCAATGGGCAAGCGGGTAATGTGATGACCATTTTTATCTATTTTTTTTTCAATATTTTTCCATTGTATACTTTTTCTACTCTCATGTTGACAGTTTTCACATGGATCAAGCTTACACCAAGAGAGTATGCTTCTAGGGGGCAGAAACTGCTCACTCCCCAACCACTTCTGGTGCATGGCAAATCCCTCTATATCTGAGGCTTCTCTGGCCCTCCCTGCTACTGACATGAAGTGCAACCCACAGCTGGTCCCTGAGGGCCTGACCTGGAAGAATTTTTACTATTCACTTCAGCCCTTAATGCAAATACATGAAATAGTTGATGATAGGGACACCCTTGGTTTCATAACTCTTATCTAAGTAATAAAACTTCATTTTTCTATGGGGCCTCCTATGCAGCTTTCTAAGTGGTCAATAACTTAGACACATTCTAAGAGTGTGTTTTTTAAATTGTTTTTTCCTCCAATTCAAGCAAGAAACAGCTCTTCTCAGTTGTCACCACCACCCGGCACCATCAGGTAAGAAGTGCCGGAGCTTCTGCCATCCGTGGCACGCTGCCAGTGCTGAGAGCTGGTGTGAGCGCGTGTCTATGGCGCCCGGGTTTGTGCCTGCCACACTTCTCAGCACATACTACTTACAGGTCAGAGCAAAGCAACTTTTCTTCTTTTTCTTTTCTCCTTCCATGAGAAGAGATGACAGTGTGCACATGATGTGTTGAGAGCCTTAACTCTGTATTTTTAACTCCTCTATCTGTATGACTCACTTTCTTCTACTTTAAGTTCCTTTTATATGACAAGTGTCTGCTCTCCTGCTTTCCAAATTAACTTTTCCTTTTGGCTGTACCTGGCATCCAGTCTATTTTACCCAGTAAAGCTAGTGAGAGAAGACAACCCTGGGTTTGTTGTTGAAAGATCTGGGTTCAGTTACCAGAGGCTCTAATGAGCTGTGTGACACTGGACTAGTTATTTAATCTCTCTTGGACTTAGCTTCTTCATCTGTAAAACTACTTTTGGATGAGATGGCCTATGAGTCCTCTAGTAGCTTGAATTCTAGAATTCTGAGGCTAGTATTTCAAATTGCAATCCTTTTTTAAAGAATAATAGACCTTATCTGTAGGAGATTGTGGGGACAGAGACATCCTGGTCTCTACACACGCACACTTGCTATATACACAATATTTTGGAATGTAGGAGATGTCCTATAACCTTTTGGTACATGAATGTATTCTCCATGGCACTATTAGTTACCAAGCAGTGAATAAAAAGAGTCAGAACATAAACTTGATCCACGGATGTGCTTCCTCCTGATGTCCTGCTTTGGTTATATTAGTTGTTTCGTTACAAAACAATAACCTATTAAATGACTGGGTTTTTTTCCCCCTTCATTAAAACCATGGCTTTTGTATCAGATTAGATTTCAACAAACTAGAAACAGAAATGTTATAATCAGCTCAAGACTTCTATGAGCTATTGCTCCCGGGATTCCTTGTTACATTCACTTTTCTGGATGTCAATCAATTTTAAGCTTTCATTGGAACAAACATATATTAGGTATCTGCTATGTGTAATTTTAATAAACACATATTGCACATCTATTATGTGCCAGGTACTCTGCAAAGGCCTAGGAATACAAGATAGACAAGATTGTCCCTGCCACTGAGGAGTTAAAACTGAAAATATAAGAAAGCAACATTTTCAAGAGAGGGCAAAAAGTGACCCGGTACTATGATGCTACTAAGACATCTATGAAACTATTACTTTTCAATGGTCTTAAAATTGTTTTTATGAACACTATTTATCATGAAGTCATGAGAGGGCCTAGACCTAGGCAATCACAGTGAAGAAGGAGAATCCAAAAGAGAAGAAGAAGAATCCAACACTCAGGGGCGAGTGTTGGGGAGAAGGGAGGGGAAATGGAGGATGGTCTCAGAGCCTATCCTCTGCCACCATGATAAAACTAAGTGCTGCTTTTCCTAACATTGCCAGAGACTTTCTCAAGAAACATTGATTTTGGTGTCAGTTTTATGAAATCTAGCAGTTGCTCACCTATTCTGATGCAATGTGGTTTTTAATGAGTCGTATTTCTACCAATCCATTTAATAGGCTGCACATGTATTTATGGCAGTAAGGTCAAAATTAGACATTCTCCAGAAGTGGTAGAATTTGCAGGTAGTTCCTTGATTCTACTCTCAATTAAACTAGATAAAATATTTTTGACAACAAAAAAGTGAATAAAAAATTGAGCAAATATAACTTCTATTCCAAATTCCACTAAGAAAAGGTTTCTAGACTTCTCTGAGGCCTATTATAGCAAGGGATGGGATAGAAAATAAGTAGCAGTGGGAGGTGTCAAAGGCTGCATGGAACCAGCTCAGGACACAGGAAATACAGACCCTGGCAACCTGGTCTCTGTGCCTCTTTTTGCCAATGGAGACTCTACCAGGTACCAATTTTTAATAGTTCATGGTATCATACTTTAAAGCTTTCAAAAGATAACAAGATAAAGCAGTGACTTTGGGTAGATTTTGCTTTACTAGTATCAGTGGTTTTAGGATTTCTGTAAGCCACACCCTTTCTGCTATAATTTCTGCTGTTGTGAGAATAAAAGACATTAACCATCAACCAAGAGATATTTTTCACACGGAAAGTTACAGATTTGATCATGACAAGATGTAAGGAAAGCTAGATAAATTTTCATTTCGTAATAGTTTGAACCTCATGTCAATGAAAGTATGTTTAAAGAATAAGAAAAATGTATCATATTGAAATAGACCATTCTGGTCTATTTAAAATTGGGCCTGCTTTAAATCACATTACATTGTTCACTAAAGTTGATCTACTGTCTTAAGTTATCTAGATATATATATTTAAAACAAAAGAAAGATTTTTCTGGTGAAGAAAAATTACTTGACTTTATAGGGAGTAGCTAAAAAATATCATGTCATAAGACTTTGCTTGAACCAAAGGAAAACAGGAAGAGTTTGGACTATGAATCCATATAATACAGGAAGAAAGGCAGTCTACATGTTTAATTGTCTCACATTTTCCACATATTTTCCATGGATGGCACTTTATTTTGAGCTCATCAACCTGGATTTTACATTTTTAATCAGATAAATACCTTTTTTTTTTTTTAAATGTAACAGGGTCTACAAGTATATATTTTAATGGACTTTAGAAATTACCCTTCTCATAACTCTGATTTTCTTCAAGAATTCTATCAAAACACAGAATTATGGTCAGGATGACTTATCAGACTCTAGCAGGGATCTTTGAGAAAGGAAGTTAAAGCATGTTTTAGAATAAAATAGTACTTCTGCTTGAGCCAAGAAAAGGAATACTTAAAGGTTTTAAAGTTCGATTAAACGACAGAAAACACCAACCAAAAGTCTTTGAGAGAGCCTATTGAATAATACATATTAACTTCCTTTGGAGTAACTTTTGGAGATGGGTGGAGGGAGTGAATGAGAGAGAAAGAGAGAAACTAATTCCCAACTTCTGTTTCTGGGATGAAGACTCTGTACGTCTATTGTCTGTCTCAATGTCTTGTCTATGCTGTTTGGTATAGAGATGACACTAAAGCAGCATGCCATTTGGGGGTGACAAAAACCAGCAACAAGGGGTATATTCTCCAACTCTAACATAGCCTCTCCAGTCCATGTTTCGAATGATGCCTCATGAATCTAGATACAGCTTGTAGGTCTAGAAGCATGGTGGTACATAAATGGAAGCTCCCAGGTTTGCAATCTTTTAAAGGGACAATTTTTATTGTCCCTATCTAGAAATATGATGGCATTACTAAGTGCAATTATATTGTCCCTATCTAGAAATATGATGGCATTACTAAGTGCAATTATATTGTCCCTATCTAGAAATATGATGGCATTACTAAGTGCAATTATATGAGATTTTTTTATTTATATATGATGCATTTGTATAAATCAGGGAGGGAAAAAAGTTTACTCAAGTTTCAGACCCACTTAAAGAGCTGAGTAGTTACAGAAATACCATAAAATACAGTCTAATAAAGATCTGAGCCCAAGACTCTCCATGCCTTTTGCCTCCCCAAAAGTCACACAGAGGACAAAGACTGACCAGGTTTCTAGAAGACACCATTTAACATAAGGAAATGCAACCAAGAAATAGGTTTGAGGGAGCGGATCTTACCTTTGGGGAATCAGCTTCTAGAGTGATTAGGAAGGGGAGCTTATGACAAAAATGTAATATAAAAATTAAGTAGAAAAAGTTAATTTAAGGTTATGAAAATAAAGGAACTTAATAATTATAGTAAACACTGTCCCAAATCCCTCAATCACTCTCTAATAAGAAGAGATATTAGCATAACATAGGAATTCCTTTTTTCTTAGGATCGGTATCTAAGAAGACTGGGTGGTTTGAATTCTTATTTATAAATTCTGGAAAATTTAGTTGGAAATCCCATGATTATTCTTGATATTTAAGGACCCAATCTTCCCCCAGCATGCACTTAAAACTATCATTCACACATACAGGAGTTATCCATATGTTTATATATGGAGAAGTAAGAATGGATAAAACTTTTAGGAGCTGAAAGTTTGGGGGTAAGAAGGTTAGGGAAGACTTTTAGGGGCTTGGAATAGAGGACTACAAGTATAAATATCTGTATGTTAATATAAAATACATGCAATGTATATCTGTTTAAAAAAGGGAAATAGGAAGGTGAAAAATGTGAATATACATCTTGGAGGATTCCGAGAAGTGGGTGATGAAGAATAAAATAAAATCATACTTCAAAACAGTAGGCTGAAATGAATGTTCAAAAGTTTCATGTGTTGGGACCCAACTATAGCACCACGTCCTCCCACTGTAATAGATTTGGAATGGGAGATGTTCAAAAATATGCCAATATTTGAGATAATTATAATTTCTACCCACTATCAAAAGTAATTATCTGAAATATTTTAGGTCTAAATTTGACGAAAACCAATATTATTCTTTTGCTAGCTATATATGTCAAAAAACCAATTGGAATTAGTATACTTTCTCATTATTTTAAAAATCAAACCTTTTAGAAGGAAAGCTTGACTCCTTGTCTTTTGAATTATCGGCAGTAATCAGAAGATTCCTCCACAAGGCAGTCTTTGACATTTCATCAGAAATATTGATCACAGATGGATCATCTCTAGATACAAGTATACCCAAAATAAAATATAAATACTAAATAAGTAACTGCAGTTATTCAATGATAGAAACTAAATATAGGACAATCATATGTATATGTAGAGTATTTTTTCCCAATTTTTGTTATTGTGGTAAAATATACAGAACATAAAGTATGCCATCTTCACTATTTTTAAATGTACAGTTCAGTGTTATTAAATACATTTGTTATTTTGTGCAACCATCACCACCATCCATCTCCAGGACTCTTTTTATCTTATCAAACTGAAACTCTGTACTCACTAAACAATAACTCTCCATTTTCTTATCCTTCCAGCCCCTGGCAACCTCTGTTCTACTTTTTGTCTCTATAATTTTGATTACTCTAAGTGCCTCATTTAAATGGAATTATATAGTACTTGTCTTTTTTGTGACTGACTTATTTCACTTAGTTATAATGTCCTCAAGGTTCATCCATGTTGCATCATATAAGGGGGGGGGCCCAAAAAACCAAAATTTATTTATAAACATTGTGTATTGTCTAACATGTTTAAACTTCAGTCATCTTCAAAGTATTCTCTATTTGATGCAATACAACTATCAAGACACCTTTTCCACTGCTCAAAATGGTTTTTGAACTCATCAATTTTGATGCCTTTTAGTGCTTCTATTTTTTGTTTCACTTCTCCCACATTTGCAAAACTTTTCCCTTTGAGGACTTTCTTAATCTGTGGAAACAACAAAATATCACTTAGGGGAAGATCAGGCGAATAGGGAGGGTGGGACATGGGGGTCATGCCGTTTTTTGGTCAAAACCTGCTGAACCCACCCAGCACATGTGGGCAGGTGCTATTGTAAATCACCCATCACGAAGTGGGCAAATGCATTGAAAGAATCTCCACACACAAAAAAATTCACTAAAGTTGATCACAGCCTCTTACAACAACGCTAGCTGGTACACTGATGCTGATGGGTTCCTAGAACACTTACTTAGAGAGGGAAGCTGGTACTACAATGGGTCCACTCTCCAAAAAATAATTCCATTTTATTTTGGGTCTACCCTCATATATCCGAATATCCTCCCTTTTAAGGCTGAATAATATTCCATTGTATGTGTATATCACATTTTATGATACAGTATTTTTGATCATTAAAAGTTGAGAAGTATGGATTATTTCTCTCAACTATTAAAAACACTGTGAAAAGCCGGGCTCGGTGGCTCAGCCTATAATCCTGTGCTTTGGGAGGCTGAGGTGAGTGGACTGCCTGAGCCCGTGGGTTCAAGACCTGCCTGGGCAACTTGGCGAGACCTCATCTCTACAATAAATCAAAAAATCAGCCGGGCATGGTAGCACGTGCCTGTAATTCTGGCTACTCGGAAGGCTGAGGCAGAAGGATCGCCAGAACCCAGCAGGCGAGGCTGCGGTGGCCAGGAGCAGCCACTGCACTCCAGTCTGGGCGACAGAGTGAGACTCTAACTCAAAAAAACAAAACAAAAACCACTGTGAAAAATATAAGATCTAAATAAAATACTCCAGTTGTATAGCTACTTATTTGGCCTGCAATGTTCTTAATTCATTTTAAATTATAGAGGTTAGGTTCTGCATGTCCATTGCTTAGGCTCTTGCCTCTGACATTCATGGCATCACAAACCACTTTCCTCCTCTGCTCAGAGCTTATAGTGGCTCCCACTCACAAGAGTGTCAAATCCTTACAATGGCTTATAAGGCTCTATCACCTTCCACCCTCTGTCTTCACTATCTGCTGTTGCATCCCGTTTACTCCTCTTCAGCCATAATGCAACATTCTGGAACATTACAGGTTGGCTGCTGCCTTGGGGCTTTGTTCTTGCTCTTCCCTCTACTCACAATGTCCCTTCACATGTCTCTCCTTAGTCTACATGTCACCTTCTCAGACATGCTCTCACTGACCACTTATTTCAAATTGCTAGTTCTATCACCTCATAGTGCTACTATCTCTTTGTTTTATTGCTTCTTTCACCATCTGAAGTACTCTACTATATCAATTGCTCATTTGTTTAAGTTCTGTCTCCCTCTACTTCTATTCTACTTGAAAATAATATTTTAGTGAGGACCAGGATTCTTGACCATTTGTTCACTGCTATTCCTCCAGAGCCAAACATTTGGTACTCGGTAAATATTTCTTTAATAAGCAAATGCAACCTGTGTATTTGACAGAGGTTTTTCCAAATGGCTGGGGGGACCTACAATATCAGGGCCTGTACTATGCCAGGTACCTTTCTCAAATTTTAAAATGGCACCATTCAGGATACCCAGGGCTAGAAATACAATCAATGGCAGCATCAATAAGTCATAGACCAAGTCAAGAGAGTTTCAGTAAATAAGAAAAAAAAGTACTCATTTTACTACATGTAGGAAAGGTACTCTGCTATGAAAAATAGTATTCTGCAGAGCTCCTAAGCTGACCTCACATGACCATCACTGGTGGTTGTTCACAAGAGAGCAACAAATTTGACTATGAAGAACAAAACATCTTTTTTTATCCAATCAATAAATGTGTTCTTTAATTCCTGTAGTCCCTCTAGCCATTGATCTTCCCAGAAAGAAAATTTTCTAGTAACTTAAAACATAAGCTCAACTAATTTCCAAAAAGCATCCTGTGGAATACAAGTTTTTCATAATATTATGTGACAAACAGTCTTGTAAGCAAATTGTAAAAAATACTGGAATAAACAAAGTTAAACTTTTTTTAATGCAGCACTACTTAGATTGTTTTATATGCTAATATACATTATAAATTTCCATACTGGAATGCAGTATGAAATATTTTTAAAACGTATTTAATCACACTGCCCTTTTTAGAGTAGTATCCCATGAGACTAGGTTTCTACAGAATACGTTTGGGAATGTGCTGATTCAACTTAATAATCAACAGAATTTTAAAACTTAAATTCGACAAAAGATGAAATATCTTCTACAGTTGTGCTCACCGTTAATGGTAATTATATTTTTAAGAATTAAAAAAAATATGATGTTAGAATCAGACCCTGGAGATACAGAAGATTCTCTCCTATTTTGTTTTTTAACACTACGACAAATTCCTTGCTCAGAGAAAAGTCTTACTGGCATAGTCTTAAATTACTCCTTATGTACTTTGAGACCATAAAATTGGATATGAAATGGTACATGAAATATAATTGTATAAGAAAACTATATAAACCAAACTATTTCAAGAGAGAGATAGAGTGAGAGAATTTTTGGCCAAATACTTGCAAAAGTTTTTAATATAACTTTTAGGAGTTTGCTTTTTTTTTTTGCTATATCTTTGAACATAAAGGTTAGCAGGTTTTGGATAACTGAACTGCATAAATATTTACTAAAATGACTGAATCCTTCAACTTAAGAAACAGATTGTCTTTCTGGAAATGCCTTTTTTAGGGGCAAATTTCTAGAATTAAAACATTTACCTCTGATGAACTCAGTGAATATCTAGCTCATTTATAACAAAAGTGAATTTGATCTGTCTTCAGGTGCTACTTTCTGAGAAGATGAAAAAGGATCTTTCATATACATTATAAAACATGAGGAGAAAAAAAGACTTCAAATAACAGCTGCCTGTCCCACTTCATTTTATGCTATATGGGTGTAATCACACAGCTATTGTTGGCAGAACATAGCACTGGGGCCCAGGTAGTCTCTTAATCTCAGTACTTTCTATTCTAAGACAAGTTTAACAAACTTCAATGGAAATCTACACAGTATTACATTCTTAAACAGAGTTTATATCAACACATTTCATTACTTAAATTGATGTGTTTTTAAACTTATATCTTACCTGTAGTGCCCTTCCAATGGGAGTTGTACTGTGCCCTCTTCTTCCATGGCTAGCATACTTTGTTCTTCCTGAAAGACAAATGTAAAATATATAAAATGAACCTGATGAATCTTCATTTTACATTAAAGAGGAAATACAGATTAATGTTTCATTATCTCATTAACCTCAGGACCTTCCACTCTGTTTGCATTTATTAATGTTAGCACAGGTCTTTTCAATAAAGTATCAGCTACCAAGAACATAAGTAATTAATGAGAGTCTCATAACACAAAGTAATTTAAATGCTAACAACAATCCCCTTCATGTCATTCAATGAAAAACATGTTAATTCCCAAGCAGATTTTTAAAAAATTACTCTAAATTTTGCAAGAACAAAAGTATGGTAATATAATCAGTTTTATTGTTATAAAGTTGAAATTACATTACCTGAATGTGCTGAAGGATCTACTCAGAGCAGTGGTTCTCAAACTTTAGTTTACATCAGAATCACCTGGAGGGCTTGTTAAAAACACAGATTGCCAGGCCCTACCCCCAGAGTGTCTGATTCAGTAGGCCTGGAGTAGAAAAGTCGTAAGAATTTTAAGTTCCAGCAAGTTCCCAAGTATTAATTATGCTGGTCTGAGGACTAAGAGAACCACTGCTCTAGAGACTTGGAAAAAGACAGTAGAAGATATCTTTCTGCATGGAAAAACACAGGTGTGCCTTGATGAAGAAGAAACGAAATAGTTTGACTCCACTTGGACGCATTTTAGGCTTTTGCTTTATGCGTGAAATTTACTTTTAAAATGACAATATTCTACCATTCCCCAAAAGGTAGAAATGCTTATATGGTCATATATATATTACTTCATGTATATAATTTTATTTTTTAATTTTTATTTTAAAAACTTTTAATTATAAAGATATGGGGTACAATTCAGGGTTAGGTATACAAATGTTCATTATGCAGGTACCCTTGCACATCCTTGGAGGTGTGTCCCCCCACTGGCAGTTTCCCACTACTGCCAATCCCTTTCTTATAGTATTATGATAATTGTTCACAGTCCGCTTAACAGTGAGAACATGTGATACTCAGTTCTTTGTTTTTGTGATAGATCACTGAGTATTATAGACCCTAAGTTCATCCAAGTTGCTGCAAAGTTCATAATTTTAAAAACTATATCTTTAAGATGAAGATAATCTCACAGCTACCATACTGAGATAGTCTGGTTTCGTTTTCAAATAATGTTATCAAACTTTATCCATGCGCACATAAAAAAATTATCCATGGAGTATAGACCTTGTTTAATGCATTTATTTTCAAATTAGCATTGCTTAAGTTCCAGGAATTACTTGAGGCTATTTAGAAATGTTAGAAATATTGGCTTCCACTCCAGAAATGGAATCTTAAGATGTATAGACATGAAGAACTGTTGACCCTCTTGCCCAAATGGAAACTGATGAGAGAAAACAAGAATGGCCCTGAAGGCTCGTCTCCTTCCCTCTTTGAGTAGCTTAGCAGAGCTAGGCTGGCCTAAGCCAGCTTCCAGGGAGATATGACCTTTGGTTGATTCCATTATTCCTGGCATGCGGGGCTGTTCCTAAGGTCCTTGGCACTCAGCCCTTTGCCTTCTACTTACAAACTCTCTGGTCTGAATATCCGTGCCATATTCCTTTTATTTAAAGAAACTGTTTCCTAGTGCCCCTTCTGCTAACCTATGGACATATAATGCAGTGTGGGGGCAGGCCTCACTTCATTCTTGGAGTACTCTCCCAACCTTCTGGCCAAGGCAAGTCTCTTTTTGTGGGACTTTGCCTGTGGTGTACACAGAATCTCTGTGCCCAGCATCTGCTGTGGAATAATGGAGAGGCCAGGGAATGCATATGCCTGCTAGTTATACTCTTATAAGCTTTCCCCCAGAAACCCAAAGTTATATTTGTATTCTGTGAATCTAATGGCATGTGTGTCACCCCCTCTGCATTCCAGGAACTAATTTTATTCTTTGGCAGCTAAAAAAAGGAAAATTTTTCTTTTAGGACCCACCAGAAGCATTCTATTACTTGTGTATTATGCCAATTCCCCATGTCATTTGGCAGCACCATTAGAACTAAATCAAGGTGAGTAGATAGTACCACAGGTCTGAAATTCCCTGTTCAAACATTTGAACAGAGCTGACGTGCAGCCTAGAATGAAGCATGCTTTGCAACTAGGTTAGTCACAATACATGGAACATAATACAGACATCACATAAACTTATGTGCACATCCTGGAGTTCACGGCAGAGCATATGTATCATTTCAGGTAGAAAAGGTTACTTTTGCTATAGGAAAGGTTACCTCTTTGCACAGAGAAGACAATCAGTGATACCAAAGGTACTGTAGGCAAAACTAAGATGTGAACAAAACACAATTCTTTTCTTGGTTGCCCATTGCAAGGTTAAGCTTGATATATAGTATCTTTTCTGGCCAATCCTAAATAAAATGTCAAGGAGACAAATAGAAGGATTTAAGAAAGAGTAAAATCCAAAAAAAGCTGAAGAGAAGAGCAGTGCCTTCAGTGCTTAGATTACCTGGCAGCAGAAAACAAAGGCTCAAGATTCAATCTAACAGCAAAAAATTGGTCCAAAGCTTTGTGAACAATTTTGTTTTTTCCTCAGATGATTTTCCACTTTTCTCTCAAATTGCTTTCAATAATTATTTTGCACTCTGTGGCTTGTTAGCATGTGTGGGCTTTATACTAGTCATAATTCTATCCAAACAAAAACTCATCACCTCTAAAGATAGCTTTCCAAGCCATGCTTATCTGAAGAGAAGGGTGGCAGAGCAGCCGCTGCCTTCAGTGCCAGAAGGAAGCTGGGTGGGCCCCGGAGCGCGGGGATGGAGGGCCGGCTGCATCCCGGCAGTACTGTGAGGAAGCCAAAAATTGAGGCTTTCTGAGGAGGAGCAGTCAAATCAGGCACTAGCCGTCACGACAACCACAACCTAGGTTATCTCAGTCATTCCAGAAAAGAAAGCGAAAGTGATAGCATAAAGCTAACGGGTAATCGCCACCTTATAAGTCAGAAATACTTTAAAATGAGCTCCATTAAGCATTTAATTTACACAGGGTTCATTAAAAATATGCTGAGTTCTACAACATGGGGAGAATGTTAAGGGGATGATGATCAAAGCTTACCCAAGGACATTTGAAGGATTTTGCCAATTTGACTAGAGGAATGTTTATACTGTGATTTAAATGCCATCTTTTAATTAAGATAGTCAAAGCACTTTTCAGATATAAAATAAGTGAAGAACAATTAATGCTATATCCTGTAAGGGGCAGGAAAATTGAGGCTTAGAAAAATGAATCTACTCAACAGCACTCAAACATTTACTGAGCACATATTATGTGCTATGCACATAGTTAACAAGAAGAATAATCCAGGAGTTATTAATCAATCCATTCAATTAATATGTATTAAGCACAATCTATATCACAGGTAGTCTGGTACCTGTAGATTACAACAATGAAAAGTAAGATATAAATCCTAAGCTCAGAGGATGTAAAAAATCAGGAGTGTAAAAGATGAAAAGTACAGGATGGAGGTTGAAGAAAGGAGAAACTCTAGGTTAGAAGAAAGAATGTGGGCTGACCCCAAATGTGAGGAATAAATAAGATGTGCATGACAATAAACAACTGGTCTGGCTGGAGCCAAAAGCCTAGGCTGAGGAGAAGTGGAAAATAAAACTGAAGTCAAGTTTCGTTGTTTTGATAAATAGGGTGTTATATATCAAATTACACCATGAATCTGAATTGTATTTATGATGGCACAAAACTCACAATTCATATGTCATAATATCTAGCAAATAATATTATCCTTTAATTACCTTTAGTGAAATAGATATTAATTTTTCAGGCAAAGTCTGTATCTATGAGGGGGCTTCAAATATCTCAAAGTACGAAGAACAATGTTCACAAAGGTGCTTAGAATATTAGAGAGAGACGAGCTTCAGTAATTTCAGAATTCACAGATCTTAAGGAATGGAAGGGACATCAGAAGTTAATCTGAACCTTTTTATTTTATCCAAGAGTAAAAACAAAACCTGTATAATGTAAGAAGTGTCAAACCATCTTCTTCCCTAATTACAAATGGAACAGATAATGCTGTGAGCATTACATACATAAATATATATCCATATAGTCTTTGAAAAACATTAAATGTTATTTATATTTATAAGAAATATTTTGTATAATTTCCAATGAATTTAAAAGTCAATATGTAAAACTACTCACTTAATAAAAACTGAAAAAGAAAAGTGGAGGGTTCATATAGGATTCATATAAATACATAGATATGATATATTTTTCATGAGAATATTTGATTCAAAGTTTCTAGGTAATTATATGAATTATTATAAATAAAAATTCTGACAGAGTGTCTCTACACTTAGGTTATATTCTAGAGTCTGATTCTATGGTTTTAGGAAAGGGCTTATCTCAAACGTTACATCAGAATCACCTAGAGGTCTTGTTAACACAGGTGACTAGCCCACTTCCCAGAGTTTTGACTCAATATGTCTGAAGTAGGGCCCAAGAAGTTGCATTCTAATAAGCTGCCAGATGTTGACAGATGTGGCAGAGGTTCTGGAATTCTGGAACCACACTTTGGAGAACCACTGGTTGAGGAAGGAGAATATGTTTGCCCCACCCTAAGATTCAATTAGAAATGACAATTGTCTGTGTAATAATTTAGCCGTGATTCCCAAGTCCACAATCAATTCTAACATTTCTTAGCAGTAAAACATCCTCTGTTGTTTAGTTGCACTTTTTTTCAGATTGCTTTTATGCTTTCTTGGCCTTTTTCATGATCCTTTATACAGATCACAGCACCCCTCTTGTCCTCTTTATTTTTCTTCTGTGGTATATATGTTAGAGTGAACTCCCAGTAAATTAAGAAGTATCAATATCATGATCACTTCCATAGAGTTGAATTTCTAGGATTTATCTACCATTAACCCCTTTTCACCCTGCCTGGGAGCAAACATTCTGCTGGGGTTTTCTGCTTTTAACAGTAGCCTTTTGTCAAATGTGTACAATATCCTAGAGAATATTTAAGTAGGAAGGAAGGCATGTTGGTACTCTGAGCACATTTGGACATCCAGAATTTGATTCTGCAGTCTTCCCTTTACACAGAGCAATGTGCAAAATGTCAGGGTTCCAATATTCATTTCTACCCTGATTATAATCCTTTCTTTCTAAAAACTGAAGCATATGCATATGCATATGCATGAAGTACATGAAAATTTGGAACAGAAGCTCTGCGACCTTGGACTGGCCTGTGTAGCTATTTATTCTGCTTAACTCATTATTGAATTTTAAGGTCAAATGAATGTTTTCTCGGTGCCATAAAACCAGAAATGGGCTACTGAGAGGAAAACCCTGGAGGATAAAGGTACAAGCTTGTAACTATCATCAAAAGGACAAGAGGTGAGCATACTTTATATTCAAGTTTCAGGGAGCTGAGACATTTCTGCTATTTACCATCTTGCCAGATTATGATCAAAGTTACTCAATAAATTTGAACAATTGCAGAAATGCAACATTTCTGGAGAACTTGTCCATTTACTATCCTAACACACAATCTCCTGAAGACTGGGCCTTGGTATAAGACACCTCTGTAGTATCTAACATATCCTGCTATGGAATCCATAAGTCTCAAGAAAATAAAATACTGAAGTCTGGGAAAAAAGTAGAAATCAACCAGGAATTGAAATTTTAACATAATTCTTCTTCAATCTTCTTACTCTTTTGACTGATCATACTCTTTTACTATAATTCCAAGCTAGAAAGTAAATATCTTTAAAATTCCTTTTTTCTATCCAGGTTAATGAAGAATTAGTTATCTTTGCACTAATCAAAATTATATTGTAATGCTCAATAATGGATTATTTCCCGACTGTATTATTGGTTCTCTTGTTTCTTCCATGTACTGAGGATCATATGAAGGTATCATTTACTAATCCATTTGAGATTTTAAGGATCTGAAAACCTGTCTGGTTAATGTGTTGCAAGGCTTTTCCCTCAAACTTGAATCTAAAGAATTTAGCTGTAAAACTGCCCCCCAGTAAATCTTTATTGTATTCCTTTTAGAATCATCAGTTTTAGGAAATTTAGTAATAGATACTTCTAAAATCTTTATCTTCATAATCAGAAAACTTCTAAAGCATTATATTAAAACTCCACTGGAGTACAGTGGGCATATAATATGAGTGTTAGAAGTTCATTACATAGCTCTCTGCCCTATGAGATTAATAAATTCCAAAATGGACATAGGATGTGGGCGTGCAAGTGTGCACGCGCGCGTGCACACACACACACACACACACACACACACACACACACACAAGTACCACACATGCACGGCCATGTGAGTGGTTCTGGGCAATGGGAATGGCAAATTCTAATACATTTATGATTATAATCAAACTTTTTTCTCCCTTTTCACAGAAAAAGGAGAACTTGAAACTTTTATTGAATCACAGTAGGAAAGAATTTAAACATCATATAACAGATTATGTATCATTCTTCATTTTCTGAAGTCCTGAGGACAAGAATGTTTCATGGTATGAGTATATCTTAAGAATACTGTGGAAGAGATGACTAGATGGCTGAGGCTGTTGCTAGCATATTCCACCAGAAGCAGAAAGACATTTGACAGAAAATAAAGCAAAATTAAATATGCTAGTTACTGCTTGAGTATAATTAATGATACAGTAAGTCCTCACATAAAGTTGTTGATAGGTTCATGGAAACTGTGACATTAAGTGAAATGTAGAACAAAACGAATTTTACCATAGTCTAGCTTATATAAACAAGAGTTAAATTCCTACAGCATATTTCTGATCACCAAAACATTACCAAGTTTCTAAATAAAGACCCAAAACACTTTTAATATTAAACACTGAAATAAAAGTGTGCTATAAATACATTTAAGAAAGATTAATAAAAACAAGTAAGATAATGAATAACCCAATTTTTAGTGAATCAGTGAATTATGGCAGTTGCAGAGGTGGTGGGTTAAACCAAGGAATAAATGTTTACAGAGTAAAAATTATAAGGAGCATCTCTTATCATCAAGCAGTTAAAAACAATGACAAATATGGGTAGACACTTTCACATAGAACTGTTCATTGTTGTACATTTGTATGCTTATCATATACTTGAATTTTTATTTTAAATTATTTGTATTCATTTATTAATTACTTTTCCAACATACTTTTTCCAGTTTAGGGTCATGGGTGGCTGGGGCCTATCCCAGCAGTTCAGAGCACAAGGAAGGGAGCAGGAAGCAGCCTTAGCCAAGATGCCATCCCATCACAGGGGGCATTCACACGCACACTAACTCACACTGGGATAATGTAAACATGCCAATGAACCTAATGTGTACCTCTTTGGGATGTGGAGGGAAACTGGAGTACTCAGAAAAAACTCATGCAGACATAGAGAAAACATGCAAACCACAGACAGTGGCCTTGGTGGGAAAGCATTTTTCTTTTTTACCAACATTATATTAAAACAAGGTAATTCCCGTACCTGCTACACTAAAATTATCAGGAAGACTGTGACAGAAACTCAGAGCTAATGAGTTTTGTCTTCAAAATTATTTTCTTTGGAATATAAACATTTTGGAAATTGCTTTCAAACTGAATAATTTTAATTACATAAAGTATGGATCATTTAAGGCTTTAGAATTTTCATATTCTGGTGTCCATCTTAGTTAAATTTAACTTGTGTCAAACTTTGCCATATTTTTCTTGAATGGTGTCTGAGGATAAAAGCAAATGTTTATTAAAGCCCAAAAAAGAAATGGAGACTATCAAAATATCCTAAAGTATTATTTTTTAATGCTAATATCTAAATAAGAATATACCAAACAGAAATATAAAGAAATAATGACAATGTTATAATATACTATTTTAGTGCTACATTAATATTATAAGAAGTATGATTCTAAGTATGCATTCTACAACATTTGGAAAAATTGAAATATTCATAAAGAATTAAGATATATCATCATGATCCATCTCTACATGTGGGAATTCACTGACAGTGATAGAACACCATGGAAAGTGATCACGCATTATGTAGCCATATTAGTAGAAATTTTTGAACAGAAATCACATTAGATTTTGTGACCAAATCTAGCCTCATTAAAAGACTAAGCAAAACCAAAGACCCCTGAAACATTTGCAAATGATTTCTCCAAAGGAAATGGGGAATATATTCATGATTTGAGAAAATACTCTGTGGATAGAAACAGATTTCTATTTATAGAGAAATAAATGTCTGTAGATAGATACTCTATAGATAGAATATACTCTGAAGATAGAATACATTTACTGACCACCTCTAGGAGCAAGAAAAATAGAATAATATATAATTCTCATTAAACATTTTTTATTTTCACTTTTATTTGTGTGGAAATTTTTTTTTTATGTTTTACAATGTATGGGCTCAATCATTCTGCTAAATATTATACAGGTCATTTTTTTTTTCCTACTTATACTCTTATAGTTTTTATGTACGTTTTAAAAAGTTTTGATTTAATAGCCTACAAAATAGACCCAGGCTTACAAACAAACTTTATGCTATAACACTTAAAATGCATTGTTATAGCATATGAAATAGAATAGGATAAACAAGTAGTCTGTGGAAATACTTAAATCCCAGAACAAATATTTGAAATGAAATGTTCTCAAATAACATTTAGTCAATCTTAAATCACTTTGAAACCAAATCAGATGAACATTTTTCCTCATTAGCATTTCACCTATTCCAAGAATAACTAGTTTTTCATTAGAATCTTTTTATTAAAACTCTGTTCTTTGGGGAAATGCCAACAATAGTAATGTCTCTTTTTTCTTCTCACATATTTAACCAAAAATCAGTTACCACATGACCATAATCTGGAAGTAGTTTGGCATCAGCAAATTTCTGCCATCCAGAAAGGAATCAGAAAAATAAGCTTTACAGTTTGGAGGATAATTAATTACAAAGTATGTATATTTTGTTAGGATTGGTTTCCTCATGTGAGACATTCATGCTCTCTATTCATTATTTATGTTTTTAAACATTAAACTTTCAAACTAGTTTACCTGTGGTTGCTGGTAATCACTGTCTAAAGATAAAAACAATAATTTAGTTTTGCAAAGAGCTATTACTATGTACCTTTTTTCTTTCTTTATAAAACATTGGTTTTGCTCTCACTTACTTCTTTCTCAGCATCTTCTAGTTTCTTTTTCTTACTCTCAGGCATTAAATCGTCCAACCAGCTGAGCTCCCGTTTGGTAAACAAGAAGTCCATCAGCTTTCTTACAAATACCAGGGCCAATACCTGAAGTAAATCATTAAGTATTTAAAATGGAAAGAAAAAAATAGAAATGGCAGATGTGGAGATGCTTGTTTGTTTTTTGATAGTAATAATTCAGCTTCTATTAGAACTAAGATTAAAGTAAAATTTGAATGTATATATACATACACACACACACACACATACATATATATATATAAAACATTGTCTAGTCTTTTGCTTCCTTCATTTCCTTTTCTTACCATATCCCTAGAATAATGACATAATTTTAGTCAGTATAGGAGTAATTTTGAATACATACATATTTGACTATTCCTCAAATATAGTAGTTAATAGTTTGTACTATATTCATGAACATTAGAACATTCTTATCTAGACTACAATTTTTAAAATTATAGTTATTCAAATTCACTATAGTTTTTGAAGTATTTGAAACTTTTCTTAAACATTTGATACAATTTTATTTTTAAAAATCTTAACTTTTTATATTTGCTAGTATATTTTTAATGCTAAAATTTGTAAGTCTTCATTTTCCCTTCTAGTTTCAATTAATTCAAACCATACAAACATTCAGAATGACAGAGAATAAACTAATATGAATCACTGAAATTCATAGATATTTTCAAATTCATAGATATCCTAGTCACTAGTTTTAATGCCAAAGATAATACCAGAATTCCCAATAATTGTTCAAAATAACTCTATTGCTCCAACATCAGTTCATATGTTTTCAAAAAGACCAGAAAATTTAAGAAAGACAAAAGGGTTGACAGAAATTTCATACCATCATAGGAAAGACAATAGCAGCTCTTGAAACTTTTATTATCCACAAAAGGCCAAGGCAACTCATCTGAATAATTGTGAAGAGATGGACTTTTCGAAGTGGTACATGCCTTAGATATATAAAATCTGGTTGATGTTTTGCAGGCATCCAGAAAAGCTTTATTCTATCAAAGAGCTAAAAGATTAAACAGACTAAATTGGTTTTGGGAGTAAGATAACAATAAAAGTAGGACAATTCGATGTTTAGTATGGTTCAAAATTTTATGTTTACATGACATATCTGAATTACACTGAAGTTGATATTTGGGCATCAGGACAACACAATTGCTATACTTATCTTCTGAAATACTACAATTTCAGTTCAATAATATCCCATGTTTTCTTGAATATGAAGTCGTGTTACAATTTAGAACAGTTTAAAAATAGTAAAGGCCAATGCTAAATATTGCTACCTTGGAAAGTAGAGACCTGAGAGGCAAAATAAAATCATACCATCTTCTTTTTCATTGTCATATTACAATCTCCTCGTTTATTTGCCCCTCAAGTATTGGACTTCCTGGATTCCTATTCTCTGTCCTCTTCTCTCCTGGCTTTGACCTTCACATGCTTGCTGATGACTCTCAGACCTAGATTTCTACCTCAGCTCTCTCTTGCTTCTGAGTTCTAGACCCATATCCAGCTGCTGATGAGGATGTTTTAACTCCTTATTTTGACTTTGAAGTTTTGATTTTGTTCCTTTAATTTCCAATGAAAGTTTAAATGTTTTCTTTATAAATACATACATCTTAACCACAAAGATTTAACTAAGATAAAGTTTTGTTAATATAATGTTTTTCAGAGTTGATTTTGCTGACGCAATTTAATTTCTTGATTAATTGCCTATATAGTACTGTCAAAACATTGATATTTTTCAAGTGTATTTTATTAAAACAATTTTCATCTGAATCAATGTTATTTCTGTTTCAATTTTGCCATAAAGACAGTACATAATATTGCATAATACTATTGTTATAGTGTATATAATATCATAATGTATAATAATATATACTAATATAAACATATTATTATCGTTATAACTAACTTTGAGATCTTCTTTATCAAGCAAACCAAATTTTTTCTATTTGATTTTATAAATTAAATTTTCAGAAGAAATTTAAATATGTGATGATATTTTACTTACAAAGTATCCTGCTTGTTAGTTTATTTTATATGAATTATTAATTTTTCTCAGGCCAAGTTTTGTTTTCAGTGTTTCCAACAAGAAGGAATTATACAGAAAATAATGGTTTCAATCACTGCCAGTCACTGTTTTATTTCATGCCATTTCTATAGTAAAATCCAGTATGCATTTTCAAAAGAGTAATATTAGATTTTATTTCTTAGCTAACTTATTAAAAAAATGTAAAGCAATTCTCAAATATGTCAAAATTACTCTAATTTGCAGGGAGACAAATGTCTACAGAGATAAAATGTTAGAGTCAAAACATCCTGCTTTACCAAATCTGCTTGTAAATGTAATAAGAATCCCAAACTCATCATAAAATTCTCTTAGGTGTTCTCTGCTTGATAGCATGGTATGACCTTTCTTCCCTCAATTATCTAAACCAGAATCATACATACATGCATTCATCCATTGACCATTCATTTATTCATATTTACACATATCTTCCAAAACATTATTGAATCATCTACTCAATATTGAAGGCTAAATTCATTTCTGATTCCTCTCTCCATTTTCTCCATATACATGTCATTAGGTCTTTTTAATTCTATTTTCTAAATTTTTTTTTTAAATTAGAAGTCATTAAACAAATATAACTTGTTACATGATAGAGGTGGGAACAGGAAAGAAATAAAATACAATCCTCTGGCTTACAATCTAATATTTCCTTTTCTATAGAACTAATCTTTCCCAGCCACCATTTCTCCATTTGTGAAGCTATGTTATTGCATAAGTGTACTTCAGTGTGTGGGTGCTTCAATTGTTATTGTTTAAATGGCACATTTGCTTTACTTTGGATTCCTGAAGTGTTAGAATGAATATAGATGTGGTTATATATCTGAATACAGAAACAGCATTCATGAGAACACTGTGATCTGTTTTTTCTGTGAGAAGCCTAGATAATAAGTTTTTTAATATTGCCAAACAAGCAGGTAAAATATAGCAGGTAAAAAATTCCTCCAATATTATATGGTAACAAAGTAACATACTCCTTGATATTCTGCACATGTTTAAGTAATAACAATCATGAAAAATATATTCTGAGTTTTTCATTTGGCTTTTATCATGTCCTGATATCAATATTACACTTCCTCAAACCAGTTAGCTACAGTTCTAAATATGAATTTCAACTGTCTGAGCTTTGGGCTCACTTAAATTTTCACAAACTCTGCTTCTCAGTATGCGACCCTGTTTAATCAATGTGTGACCCACTTACTGTCTCATTTGTGTTATTTAAAACTAATTATACTTAACTCATGGGTCTTTGATAATATTTTGTTTAATTTTCATTTGAAAGATTCACACTCCAAATAATTCCAAAATTTGACATTCTTGTTTAATTCTAAACCTCCTGGATATAAAATCATGTGACTGGAATTAGGGGAGAAAAACTGTTGGAACCTATCAAAATGATTTTATTTTATTTCTTAAACTTCTGCTCTGTATTTATGTAAGCCTGGGGCCTAATAAGAAATACTTTTCACTTACAGATGAAATTAGTACTTGTGGAACTTTTGCCAAAGGCAAAAAATAAAAACAAAAAAGCAAAACAAATAAATAAAATCTCTTCAATACTCTTCCCTGTCTGCCTTACTAAACCAGTTCTATCAAAATATACTTTTTATACATGAAGTTTTAAATGAGCAAATTAAATCCGACCAAAATTTAAACACATAGTGCTTCTCGACCATCTCCGTCTCGCAGTTAATTTTACGCAGTGTTGGGATGAAGATTCAGTCATACTATTTTGTACTTTGGGTATTTAGTAATCTTACAATTATTTCATATTGAACTTTTCCCTCCATCTGATATCCAGCACCCTTCTAAGGTCTACCTGCTTCCTCTTCTCCCAAAGTCAGAAGCCATTACATAGTACATTCAGCAACAGAGATCCTGTGCTTCCTGTCCTCAGCCAAGTAACTATTCTTTGACATATTTTAAACAGCAATGAGTCTAGCTATGTCATATACAAAGCTGCAATTTGTATCTTCTTTTCAGTTGACAAAAAAAAAAAAACAAAAACAAACAACTATCCAAAAATGAGCCTCCAGTTTCTTTGTCAAGAAAATTAGAATGTTTTGGCTATATAATGTTATAAAACAAGATTATTCAAAGGCCAATTTAATTAGAAATCTATATTAGTTTCCTAGGGCTGCCATAGCAAATAACCACAACTTGATGCTAAATCAATAGAAATTTATTATTTCACAGCCTTGGAGGCCAGAAGTCTAAAATTAAGATGTTGGCAAGACCACTCTGCCTCCGAAAGGCCTAGGGGAGAAAATGTGTCACTTTCAGTTCCTAGAGGCTCCTGGCATCTTTGAGTTGTGGTAGCAAAACTTTAATCTCTTCCTCCACCTTCACATGGCCTTCTTTCCTGTGTCTCTCTGTGTCCTCTCCTCATCTGATAAGAACCCTCGTCCTTGAATTTAGAGCTCACCCTAAATCCATGATAATCTCATCTTGAGATTCACATCTGATTACATTGTCAAAGACTCTATTTCCAATAAAGCCACAATGTCTAGGTAGACATTTATGTCTAGGTAGACATAAATTTTGAGGAAATACTATTCAATCATAACAATATCATAAAAGAAAGAAGCAGAGTTAATTTGCCTACAACTTCTATAAAGATTTAAAATATACTTGTGAAGGTTTTAAAATGTGTCCACAAATTATTTGATATTTTTCTCTTCAAAAGATAAAATCCTTTCTTTCCCTCCCCTTGTGTGCAAGCTGAACTTAGTGACTACTTCTAACAAATAGAAAAAAGTGGAAATGACTACGTGTGACTTTAAAGATTAAGTAAAAAAGCACTGTGACTTTCTATCTCTCTCTCTCTCTCTCTCTCTCTCTCTCTCTTTCTTCTCATGCTGAGGTAATTAGGTTCCGTGTTGTGAGAACACATAAGTATTCTATGAGGAGGCCATTGTGGCAAAAAAAAACAAAAAAAACAAAAACAAAAACAAAAGACTGAGCCTTCCTACTAACAACCAGAAAGAAACTGATGACTTGGATCCACAGCTGTGTGAGAGCCATCTTGGAAACCTCCTCCACCCCTACCAAGCCTTCACATATTGTGGTTCTTGTCCACATCCTGACAGCAACACATGAGACATCTTGAGTCAGAACCACCTGGCTTATCTGTAGCCTAACTCATGACTCCTAGAAACTGCAAGATAATACATACTTTTTATTTAAAGCTACTAAGTTGTAATTTGTTATGCAGCAATAAAAACTAATACAGTGCCTAAAATATTTATTTAGCCACTACTTACCTAAACAATGCATAAGGTTTCCCTCATATTTGAAATTGTTTTACCCTATACCTTTATTTTTATTTTAACTTTAAAAATAATTCTATACCCGGGCTCGGTGGCTCAGCCTGTAATCCCACGCCTTTGGGAGGCTGAGGTGAGTGGATTGCCTGAGCCCACGGGTTCGAGACCCGCCTGGACAGCGAGACCTCATCTCTACAATAAATCAAAAATCAGCCGGGCGTGGTAGCGCATGCCTGTAATTCCGGCCACTTGGAAGACTGAGGTGGCAGGATCGCCGGAGCCCAGCAGGTCGAGGCTGCGGTGGCCGGGAGCAGCCACTGCACTCCAGTCTGGGCGACAGAGTGAGACTCCGACTCAAAATAATAATAATAATAATAATAATAATAATAATTCTATAAGTATAATAACATAAAAACAAGCATAAAAGGGAAAATTTCACCCAGTTTCTCATTATCCCAATAATTTTTTAAAAAAATTTTCTAATTCCCTTTTAATACAACTCAAACTCATAGCTATGTAAATCTAAGGTAGGTGGTTTTCACTTTGGAATTTGTCATGAGCATTTTTACGATGTTACTTTTGTAGTCATGATTATCAATTCTCAGTGGATGCACCATAGATTACTTAATTATTTTGCTGCTGTTGGGTAATTGGATTATTTCCAATATTTTAATAGTATGCATTACAATGGATATCTTTTTTTTTTTTTTTTGAGTTGGAATCTCACTCTGTCGCCCAGGCTGGAGTGCAGTGGCATGCTCATGGCCACTCCAGAGTTGACCTGCCGGGCTTCAGCGATCCTTCCACCTCAGCCCTCCAAGTAGCCAAAACTACAGGCGATCACTACTACGCCCAGCTAATTTTTGATTTATCATAGAGACGAGGTCTCAACAAATTGCCTGGGCTGGTCTCGAACCCGCAGGCTCAGGCAATCCACTTGCCTTGGCCTCCCAAAGTGCTGAGATTACAGGCTGAGCCACCGAGCCCGGCCTTTTTTCTATTCATATATATAGATGTCCATAAATCTTATTAGAGTGTCAAAGATTATATGCACATATTTGGATATATCTTGAAATATACTGCTACTATTTTTTGAAAAAGCTGTAAAATCTAAACTTCTTGCAGTTTTAACATACTATGGCAAATAAAAATACCCTTGGATTATTAACCTTAGATCCTGGACAGAATCTTCTTTAATTTTTGTAACTCTGACCAGCTTGAAGAAATTTAATTGTGGTCTAAAAATTGCTCCTCAGGTGATGTCATTTTCTTAACTGTCACAGGACTTATCAATAGACCTTGAGATAAGTCATCACAGATGTGCCTGTAGTACTGTGAGTAATTTACCTGGATTCCCTTTAGAGATGAAGCACCCATATAAAGAAACACTCCATATAGCACTGGCATGGGAATAAACTGTAAAAGAACAACCAGAGAAAAGGTACAAGTTATTTTCAAATATGATGCAGTCATGATATTTTGCACTCATCAAAAAGAAAAACAGAAAAATGGTAGCTTAGAAAAAAAGCAGTATAATACAGAACTGGAAGACATGGGTTCAAATTCCAACTCTATCACTTTTTAGCTGTGTAACAAAAAGGTAAGTTACTTAGGCTCTCTAAGCCTTCATTTCCCAAAATCTAAAAAGAGATGATGATAATAATAGGGTTGTTATAAGTATTTAGTAGGTCAAAACCTACTTAAAAATGTGATTTATAATAAACAATATTTACTATTATTATGTTACTTTAGAGACAATTTGGATTTTGTTTCACAGTGGTGAGATATTTGAATTTAAAATAAAGAATGAAGCCGGGCTCAGTGGCTCAGCCTGTAATCCCGCACCTTTGGGAGGCTGAGGTGAGTGGATTGCCTGAGCCCGCGTGTTCGAGACCCACCTAGGCAGCGAGACCTCATCTCTACAATAAATCAAAAAATCAGCTGGACATGGTAGCGCATGCCTGTAATTCCGGCTACTCGGAAGGCTGAGCAGACGGATTGCCGGAGCCCAGCAG